AAAAAAAAAAAAAAAAGAAATGACCATTTACCTTGGGATATTTCATCTTGAAGCAAACCAGACTATTATTATTTATCCGACACCAATATACACAGCAGTGGGATAAGGTGGCATTAGCATTTTTTTAGGAGGAGTGTAAAAATTTCCTGTAGGAGATTTTCATTGAATGACCACAACCGTCAGTTTGAGAGGTTATTAGTGAGGCAAAAATCTCTCTTGTTGAGGTTAATGAAAAACATGTACATTATAACAGTGTTTACAGCTTCACGAAATGTAAATATAACTAGGGTTTGAACAATCCTAAGGACCAACAGCAGCAGGGATGCTCAAACACGCATACAGTACAGTACATACACACACCTGCGCACCCAACTTACTGTCAACATCTCTAAAATCTGGTCAGTTCCATGGAGAATGTATATGGGCCAATACATTAAATATCCCAAGATAAAGCTCAATAATAACATACAGTAACCCTGAACATGACCTTTTATACAGTACACCAAATGTAACATGTAAAAATGGACTTAAAAAGGTAGATTTTGCCATAAATACCTGATATACATAACACCACTTCAATTCCCTGTTAAGGCAAATATGCTTTCAGTTTGGGGAGTGCATAAAGCGTCAGTGTTTCTAATAACTAGGTGGGTGCAATTGCATATATACCTACTATATACTACTTTCCTTTGTCTTTGTCAAACATGCAGTGTTCATGTACAACGCTGGCTATGGACTCAGTTCAAACTGAGTCAAACTAGTTATTCCATACAACCATTAGCAGAAGAGTTATTTCAATACATATATCTATCAAAAACATGTCCGACCAGCAGTTTTGTGGTTATTTATGGTTAGCAATGACAGTACTGGGCGCTCTTTTTAAAATATAATGCTCATACCTCTGAACATATTAAGCTGCCACCCTTCCTTCCATACAAAAAGCTTAAGGAAAGGTTCTACTCAGGGAAATGATAAACATATACTTTTCACTGTACATATCAACAACCAGGGTGCTCCTACGTCTTACTATGCTCGTGTCGTCATTATTTCTACAGTAATCTTCTAAGGTACACTCGACAACATTGATATGACATAGAATAACTACGCGCACTATGTCATCTGGCTAATTTCTCACAGCTATACAAATCGTAATAGTTAACACAGAATTGTCCTTTGGGAATCACAAAAATATTTGGTTGGATTCTACAACAACTAATTACAAATCAAAGGTTATTACGAGGTCGATATCACAAACGCCATTAAGTGACCTGCACATACAGGATGACATACAGTACATGATAACATCAGAGCTGGTCTTTGAACATGCAGCTAATGTTTACCTGCCTTCTCAAAAATCTGTTGTTACCATTGACCTCACATGCAAGCACTGTGGGTGATGAAACAACTCCTCATACGAAGGACAGTGACATGTCTACATGCACAAAAACACTCTGCATACCATTCAGGAAGTACATGACTTTTAAACATCTAAAACCAAACTATCTTCTTATGTCTTAGTTACTTGTCTCTTGAGGTAAATAACGATCAGAACATTTTAGACATTTAACAAGAAAAGTGCACGAGAACAAGTGCAGCATTTCAATTCCATTAAATGTTCAAAATCACATGGGAATTATGAGAAACTCCCCAAATATTTAAACATTTGCCATATGCCATTTTTATACTCAGCCTAGGTACTAGGTACTACTATTCTCAGACACATCAGAAATGTCATAGTATCACCACATTTGGAATATATTGATGATTACGGATCATTACACCATAAAAGACAGGATGCATAATATTGTGGTTAATCAGTGTGCAAGGGGCAGGAACTAAAAATTCCCTTTATCAAAACAACACAACTGGACAATTGGTGCTCTCTTAAGATTAAGGGAATCCATAATTATGTGCATGTAAACAGGGTCACTGTCCTCTTGGACTCAGGTATATATTTGTAAATTTTGTACAAGAGTCATCATTAACATGGGTGAGTTTAAGTAAAGGGCAAATTTAAGAGCACATTTCTTGGCTGAGAAGTGATGCTAAGTGCAAGCTTTTGCGACTGCTACCATACAGGAAGTTTCTACACGTGGTACTGCTACTGCTACAAAGAAAGAATTAGATCTGAATGATCCTGGTCTGGCACTGTGTAAACATTGCCTTCAGCTCGCTCTCTTGGGTCTCGCTGACAGTATCTGGCTCAGGGCTTTTCTGTACTTTTGCCACAGCAAAGTTGATACCCTGGGTGAGTCCTGCCTGGGTGAGACTAGCCACCTGGACCATAGAGCTCTTGATCTTGGCAAAGGGGGACACCACTCGGCTGCCGTTGCGCCTGCCGTTGCTGTCGGCAGGTGAAGGACCGAGGCTGCCCTCCATCCATGAACACAGGCTCCTCTGAGAGCCTCCTGAGACTGCAGAGCTGGGCTTCTGGATGGTGAGGAGGCTGGAACTGGAAGTAGTGGACTGGACATCTAACTGGGAGGGTCTGGGGAGCTGGGGCTTCTCCTGCTGATGCTGTGACTCGGAGCTTGGCTGCTTATCTGGGTCTTCTGGGGACTTCCACTTCACAGGCACCATGGGGTTGAATGGGGGGACAGCAGTGAGTGGCTGCTCTCCAAACACCTCAACAGGTTTGGTCTGTGCATCCTGGACAAACTGGTGGCAGTATGCATCAATGGGAGTACCAAAATCAATGAGAATAGCTTCTTCAGCCACTGAGGCAGCCCCTGGTGAGTTGTCATCACTAACATGAGAGCTGTCCTGCATTCCGTCACAGCCAGTGACACGGATAACAGAGGGGATATTTAGCTCCACGCTACCGATAGATTGGGAGCGGCTGCCCAGACGTGGGTTTGATGCTACAATGCCGCAGCTGGGCAGAACATAGTCCACATTTTCTAAAGAACCAGAACACGGGTGCTCTGGGTCAGAATTATAGGAATCAGAGTCGTCTGAGATTCCAGAGTGCTCATCACCCATGCCCTTCAAGACTCCAGCACCGGGGGTGTTTTCTGATGTCTCTAAGCTGCTGTCTGACTTCCACAGGTTGACATGCATAGTTGGTTTTAGGAAATTTACTTTTACATCAGGCTTAGAGAAGTTGCCCAGCCTCCCGAGCGGCTTGAAAGGGCCAATGTTAACATTCGTCTTGGTCTGTTTCACTTTCTGATTGAGAGAGGAGAATTTGTTGAGCAGGAAACTTCTGCCCTGTGCCAAACCAGAGCTTCCCTGGACCTGATCAGCAGGTTTATTCTGGATCCCCATGATATCCTCATGAGGTTTACTCTGTCGCCTGGAACACAAACAGAAACAACATAATTACGCCATCCACAGCTCTCGCCACTGGTTAAAAGTTAAAATTATACTATAATGGCTGCAAATGCTTATCTTAATTACATTAAATCTTGTGTAGGTGAGAAAGAATTGAAAGCTAATCATCTTAATAACAACAAATTAGTGCTCACCTCTCCAGCTTTTTTTCAATCACAAGCAAATCCAGCCCTGTGGATTGTTTTGTTATGCGCAGCATCTCAGCTATGCATTGTAATGTATCTGAAATATGTCACAATGCAAGTCTCAACCACTATATGCAGAATTGTTATGGTATCAAAACATTTCTTTTTGTTCCGTTTAAAATAATTAAAAGATCCTACCTTTTCCATCATCCTCTGGATTTCGTGTTGCTGCTCTCAGTGTGTGAAAGTATCCGCTCGTCTCTTCATTTCTGTAATGCAAACGCATACAGCAGAACTTTGGCTTCCCAAAAAGAGTAGGCTCTGGACCTGCAAAAGGAAACAACTATTCACTTCCATTTTTAGTGACGTGCTTTCCTTGCATGAATCATTATGTGCCGTACAGCAATATTGCTGAAAGGTTACTGAGAAACTATTGGCACACTGCTGGGAAGTGTTGGTGTAACTCAGCAAGAAGAACTCACTTCTTTGAGAATCTAACTTCTTACCAATTTCGATCTTTTCCAAACCCTGTAAATTGAAGCGCTGGTATTGGTTGACTTTATCTGCCTCTTCATCGTAGCTACAAGAAAATACATGCAAACGTAAGTTAATCCATATGAACTAATTTTAAATTAACTTTATGGGAAATTTAAAGGCAGACTCACTAAGCAATGTAATAAGCTTTGTCTGACAGAAGCAGCAACACATCCACATCTTTGTTGGCTGCATCAATGAGGCTGGTGGGAAGTTAAAATAACGGTATTATGACAAGAGCACTTCAGAAACAAAAGGAAACATAATATAAATAGCACCAAAGTCACTTATCATCTACAAGCATGATGATATTAAGTAACAAGACAGTTGGCCACTAACCTCATGTCACAATTGATGAGGGCCCAACCACCATGAAACTTCTCGTCATCTGGGAGCAAAAGCTGCATGTAGGTCTGCAGCAGGAGGCTGACCTGCTCCTGAGCTCCTCTTTGGCTCTCCTTCTCTTTCTCTTCATGCTCCTTCTCTTTACTGAAGATAGAGTAGAGGTCCTCTGTCACTGGCAGGCCCATCATTAGGTCTGCAGGGACAGGCAGACGATTCAGAAGAGTCCATCACAGACTCATTTTTAGGATCGCATGAGTACAGATAAAGATTGCCAGCTAAAATACTGTATCTGTCTGTTTTTCCATACCAATGACTGCTTGTCTGTAAGCATCTCTAAAGCGATTCAGATAGTAGCGGTTGGCTGAGTTCACGCCGTCCTTCATCACACCAGCCAGTTTCCTCTCACCCGTCCTGGTAAAATCTCCCTAAAACAGATCAAATGCTCTCTGTTAAACAGAAAATTTGCCTTACCTTTGTGACTCTCTGTACTCAGCCTATTTTTAATGTCCAAAAAGCTCAGTGCTTATTTATTATTCTCATGAGTTTAATTTACTGAAATACTCTGGTATAGACTCTGCTGATTTCTGAGTCCTAAGGTCAAAGAAAGCTTATGTCTGAACTCTAAACAGCTGACTGTGATTGCTTTTCATGTCTCTTATGTGATCATTCCTTGGTCCATGCTCAGCCCAGAAGTTGTTCTAGCTGCCCGAGAGTCGAGAATATTCAAAGGCTCTTAAATCTGCTCTGAGGGTTGAAGAGCCATGAGCAGGGATACACAAGAGCATCCTACAAGAAAGTCTTTTTTTGGACCAACACGCCCCTTTATTGGAAATTCTCTGGTGATTGGATACTTTGGAAGAAGGACATGTCATGCCTCTGATAACATGTTTCTTCATGTCCTCTCTCCTCTTATATTTTCCTCATATCTTATGTGGGCAGGACTAAGAGACAAGGAAAAGATGCAGGTGAAGGAAATGTGGACCGATGCCTGTAACTAACGCACTTCACTACTTTTTGCTTGGGCAAACACTGACTGAGATGTGAAAGTGTGCAAAAACAACATTACCTTCAGTGCTGCTGTGCCTGCATACTGTTTGCTGATGGTGTCTCCATTGTTGGCCCACATAATCTGATAAATCCTGTAGCACTTTAGAGGCAGAGGCTGCTCGGGAGGCATCACCCCCAGTTTCTTTAGCTGCAAGAGATATTTTTGTCCATGGACATGATGTCAAACCTTGGAGTACGC